CCAATGGCTTCAAATTTGTGTCGGCCAGCACGGTGCATGGCTTGCGAGGTTCCTCTTTGCACCAGGCTTTGTCCACAGTGCTGTAGTCTGGGGCACTGTACAGACACTGGACAGAGATGTTGCTGGACTGCTTGGCTGTGTGTATTTGGGTCCCTGGAAAACACCCGGCATGTGTGGTGAGATCCCAAAGGAGGCACAATGGCACCCCTTCCCCTATGCTGGAATATGTTCTGTGGGCTGGACGCTCCCTGGATCTTCTTCTATCTCCAGACCCAAGGAGCAGAAGGGGACTGGACCCAGATTACTTGTGCAGAGATGAGTCACAAACTGGGAGGGTCATGTCCCCTTCCTCCAGTTCCCCCAGGAACTGTATGCTCACAAGTGCTCAGCCTGTAGGGTCTGGAAGCCAAGGACCAGGGAGGGCTGGCAGCTGTGGGGCCAGAGCAAGAGCAACGCCTGGCAGTGGGGGAGTTCTCCAGCAGTGCCTGCCATGGACCAGGTGAGTGCTGAGCTGAGGAAGCTGCTCCTGGAGCTGCTGACTCGACCCTGTGGGAAGCAGTTGTGAAGAGTGGCCCCATTTGTGGGAGGTCATGGGAACCTGTCCCAAGCACACAGAGCATGAAGGGCCAGGCCTGAGCTTTGGCTCCACGGGCCTTAGGGGCAGCTGCCACCATGTCTTCCAGAGAGACAGGCAGGCAGAGGGACATGGCTGTCATCTGTGCGGCAGCAGTGCTGGGCTCCTTGGTGGTGTGGCCAAGGAGAGGAGGGAGAAGAGGCAGGAGAGGTGGGGCTGAAATCTGCCAACATCCACATTTGGCTGCCAGTGGATACTCACTTTTGGACACAGAGAGCCTGACCTCCATTAGCCGGGTGGGCTGAGAGTCTGTGTAGAGTGCACACCAGTACGTGGCAGTGTCCCGGGCCTGCAGCTTCTGCATGGTGATGGTGAGGGTCCTTCTCTGGGTAACATCCTCCATCACGACTCTGTCACCCAGGACTTTGCTGCTACTCCGTGTTGAAGGGTAATTTGTCTTCAGCCAGGTTTTACACCCATTCTGACCTCTTCGACACCAGCCTTTTGATGTGCTGATGGCTGAGGCACTGTACTTGCACTCCACTGAGACACTGTCCAGCTCCCACCTCTGCAGCTCTGCAGAACAGACAGTGTGCTCAGTGAGCCAGAAGTACTGGGCACATGGGCACCCGCCACCCAACCTGAGCTGGGTGCCTGGACAAAGCCCTCAGGGACAGCCCGTCAGACGCAGAGGGGAGGGCATGATGTTGCTTTCTGACAAGGCCTGAGTTTGTGTGGGGGGAAAGGTACTTACCCTTCAAAACATTCAGTGAGATCGTCTTTAGAGTAACATCCTTGCCACGTTCAGTGGGACGGTAAACACAGGCATATGTGCCCGAGTCCTCTGTCTGGAGTTTAGTCATGGTGATGGACACTATCCCAAGACTGTAGTCGTTGTTTATTGTTATTTCCCCATTTGTGGCTGGGTTTCTGTGCAAGTACCAACTGGGCATTGTCCTCACTAAGTGCTCACATTGTTCACCTGTCATGCGGCACCAGGCCTTCACCAGCGGCTGTCCTGGGTAAGGACACTGGATATGCAGAACACCTCCTTCCCATCGCCTCTCCTCAGCAGCAGGCGTCTGGGCCCAGAGACCTGTAGATACAGGATGTGGGCAGGGCAGTGGGAGCTGATGCAGGGCTGCCCACAGCCTCTCAATGGAGCAGGGAAACCGCCTCCAACCTTCCCCCTGGTGCTTATGGCTGGAGGGACTGAGAACCAAGATCCACTCCTGCTTGGAAACAGGCAGGTTGATTTCTGACAGGCAGCACTGAGATCTGAGCTGGGATCACAACTCTGATTTAAAATTCAGTATCTTTGATTTCAAAATCAAAATCTAGTGCTGTAGTAAGCACTAGGGGTGTTGGACCTTCAAGCCTAAATGGAGCGATGGTAGGAACTAGTGCTGCCCCTTCCCTCCCCACCCCTGCAGCAAGCTGCCCAGCTCAGAGTCCTGCTGTTGTTGGATTCTCCTGACCATGGAGCCCTGCAGGCAGCAGGAGGTGGGGAGGGGTGTCCCACTGCCCCGGTTTTGAGGGGCCTGGGACATTCCCAGCCCTTCTCTTACCTGGGAAGCAGAGCGGCAGCAGGAGGAGGACCCTCAGCTCCATAGCCGTCCTCAGGCCTGGGGAAGGGGCATTGCTGGGGGCTGCCCAGCACGTCCCGTTCAAAGTGTCTGCTTGGAGAGCTCTCCCACATCAGTGACGCTGCTGGAGGAACTGCCTGAGCTCTTGCTTTCCTGCGGAAATCCTTCACCACATTTTGCAACAAGACCAAGATTAAGACAATTTCAGGGTGCATTTGCGGAAGTGGTGAGAGCAGCACTGTCCTGATGGCAGAGGCTCTTTGCTGCTCTCACCTGGCCGTTGTCGTGCTCTGCCCTCTCACCAGTGGCAGGCGGGGGCAGATGGAGCAGGTCCGTTGTCCTAGCCTAGCCCTTCTCTCTGGGTTCCCAAGGTGTCCTCTGCCCAAGCCCTTGCTGGAAAGTCTCCTCAAAGCCAGAGTGGCAATGAGTCCAAGTCTGTGTCTTCCTGGCACAGGCCATGGCATTTGGGATCCCCCATCTCCACCAGCCCAGCCAGTCCCCTTGTGCCCCATGCTCTGCCCTGCACAGAGCCCTCGGGCTGCCCAACCCCACAGTGCCCAGCTGCAGAAACCAAAGCAGAACCGCTGGGCTTTTGCACATGACACAGTAATGTCCCACAGGCACGACTGAAGTGATTTTAATTACAGGGAAAACAATGCAAATGTTAAAATAATCCATTCAGAGCAGCTCTGGACAGAACTGCCTCTGGGCTGACTGTGAAGTTGGACAACTACACACAGATTCCCGCCCCTGCATGCCATTTTGGTTCCCCTATATGAGTCAGGAACGGCAGATGTTAGGGTGAAGGAACTGGGGCTCAGGAGCAGCCTAGTAGGTAAAATGAGCTGTGGAGTACAGATCAGAAAGTGGGTGGAGCAGGTGGGGCAGCAGGCCTGGGAAGTGAATTCTTCTGCAAGGAAAATGAGGAGGAAGGAGTTTCTCCATCTTTTTTTTTGAAAAGAGACACTCACCTACGAAAACAGCCAGCTTAATTTCCTGTATTCAGAAGAGGTGGGAGTCATCACAAAGAGCACACCAGTACTCCCCAGTGCCTAGTACTGTGAGCTTCTCCATGGTGATGCTGAGGACTCCCCTCTGAGTGTCTTCATGTACCTTCCATTCTAAGTGTTATGCTCACACTGACTGCTCGGCCTTTCTGTACTGACCAGGACAACACACTCCCCTGATTGTCTTCTTGCACCAGGCTTTCCATGCAGCCTTGTCATCTTGCATGTTGTGTGGGCACTCAGCAGAGGGACTGCATCTCCCCAGCTACATATCCTTGGGTTTCTGGAAAAGGTGCAACTGGTTAGTAAGGTCCAGAAAAAATGTCCACACAAAATGTCCAATTACACCAGTTTCCTGCAATGAGAATAAGGACAATATTGTAATCCAATTCACAGGCATTTTACCTACAGGAGGCTTGAATTGAACTGGGATGCTAAATAAAATAATATAAAAAAATAGTCTGTCCTTCTGAAGCAAGTTTAGAATAATATAATCATATCCCCAAACAAAGCAAAGCTTGTTATAACAGAAACATCAGAAGTCTTTGCTCTGAATTTGTCAGCTGAGTCGGTGATCAGAGAGAAACAGCCAAGACAGAGAAAGATCTGAGGCACCTCATGTACAAGAAATTACTAAACCAGCTTTTTACCTGGAAAGGAAATGACAGGGGTGGTATTACAAGAGTTTGTAAAATCAGGAATAGCATGGAGAGAGAGAACAGGAGCAATAATTCACTATTATAAAAAAGAAGTCACTAGTTTGGAGGAAAGGAGAAAAGGAAATGCTCCACATGTGCATCAAGTGTGGAATTCACTGCCACAGGATGTCCTTATACCAAAAGTTTGTATGTGTCAGCAGAATGAGTAGATGAATGAAAGAGAAAAAAGAATTTAACCACTGCTATTATAACAAAACAGAAAATCACAGGAGACTGGGGGAGGATTCTGAAGAGCTCTTTCTATGTGCTTCTGTGTTTTTGGACTTCTTCCTAATTATCTATTTCAGCCAGTGTTGGAGAACTTTGGTCTGACCTACTCTGGCTATTCCCCAGTAATACAATCACTGAAGAAGTAAGCAGAGAAAGTGAGGCATCTACCAAATGCCCCACAATTTCCTTAAAAAGAAATCCTCACTTTTGGAAACAGACAGTTTCATCTCAATTACCAGGGAAAAATGAGAACACATAGAGTGTTAGACCTCTGCAGAACAGCAGAACCATGGTATAAATCCCAGCTAAAAGTCATGATGACACAATCCACAAGTGACATATCCACTACTAGATAAAGCACACCAAGTTCTGATAGGAAGAAGCTGCTGGATTTAGGTGTAGTAGCAATTTTAAGATATAAAAGCTCCATGTCTCCTTTCCAGTTACCACCATCACAGCAGGGCTAGGCAAAACTCATCAGTGTTCACAGCTGAGTAGCCTCAGCCCAGCCTCAAATGAGTTGGTATAAAATCTCTGTAGAGGAAGTTACTCCCTTTTTCAGGCTTTGTGGAAGAATCTAAGCAAGCTAGGAGCTGCTGAGTAAATTCTTAGGCTGCCTTATCTCAGGTTGTGGTTTTGGGGGAAAAAAAAAGCCTCTTGCAAAAATATTTGGAAGAGCATCAAATTGAGGTAAGCCTTAAAATAACTGGTCTTTTTTTTTTTCCCCAAGAAATGGAGAAAAGGAGACTAATGTAACAGATTTTAACAGCATTTTGTTTGAATTCTTGGTCTGAGGAGGGTGTATCTACCAACAAGGTAATAAAAGGTTAGGGAGAAGGGGAGTCTGGGGAGCATACAAATATTTCCCTCAAGTTTCATGGTCATTTGTCATATGGATAGTTTTTATAGCCATTATTTTTGCCTTGCCTGCTTGTTTGTCAGTACAAACCTTGCAGTAAACAAGACAGAAGGAGGGTAGGACAAAGGACTGTAAGAGGGCAGGCAGTGCAGTGTCTGCAGAAGCCAGTTGTGCAGTGTTTCCCATGGTGTGGGTCTGTCCATGCCCCATGTGGTATCATGAGTTGTGTGAGAGCATAAAGCACCACAGAAAGCAATGTATTTTGGGGTTAAAAATCACAAATTTGCACTATAGTATAGTTTTCCTCAACCAAAAGTTGCTGAGTGTCTGTGAAGGTCTGATGTAGAAGCTGTTCATTGTGTTGCAGCGTTATGAGGATTCCTGGATTTTATTCTGTCCTGCTTGAGCATCAGCCAGGAACAGGTCCTTAGAAAAACGAAGAAATTGTGCAGTGTGGGTTGGTGCCAGCTCTGCTGCAGCTCTGCTGATGGCTGGTGGGCTCAGTGTGTGCATGGGAAAGAAAGGGAGGGATCAGGCAGGAAACTGGCTGTGAACAGATGAGGAGATTCCCCAGCTTTGGTTACAGCTTAGGACTGTGCTCAAGAACAGATCTTCTCATACCTATTGAAGCTTTCTGTCTAGAGATGCAGTGAGCACAAGTATATATGAAATTGTATTCCCCCTGTGGAACAGTTAACAGGCCTGAGCTGGCTCGGCGGGGGCTTCAAAAGACTTGAGGATATAAAAGGTGTGGTAAGGAAATATAAAACCCTGTCAGTCGTGTGTGATAATAAATCTGTGCTGGTCATTCCTCCTGAAATAGCATTACACTGCTATCATTTGGATGATCTCAGTTCCAAAATTATTAGCAACTCTTTTGCACATTTGCTTCCCTGCTGCCTCCCAAAGACTCCCCTTTACCTTGACAAAGGCTTTCAGAGGGATCCTTCCCTTCAGAGTTGCTTTTTTATTGCAGCATCAAAGGTGCAGTTCCCTGTGAGCTTAGTCTGGTGAGCCTCAGCATCTGAGATTCTATATCTGAATAATCAGCTCCTAAGAGGTGTTTCACAGCCATGAAACAAATGCTGGAAGGCCTTTCTATCTTGATTCACACAGATTTAGCCTGTCCTTAAGTAGCTGTGATTTCTAGGAAATACTGCACATGCAGAGAAGGAATTGCTGCCAGGACAGTTGTCCCTTGAGCCAGTGACCACATGGTCCTATCAGGGAGTTCAGGAGCTGGGCCAGGCAGTGCCAGAGGACATGGTGTTTGCATCACACATGCTTGTTTCTGAAAAGGAAATTGTGCCCAAAGTGACTTGGCTTGTGGTCCTGGAGAAACCAGAATCTCCAGGTAATAAGAGCCAGAGCTGGCCCATCTCCTTTCACAGCAGTGCAGAGAATTTCTCCCTCTGAAAAGAAACTTGCTTTGGTGGTAGAAACTTTAAGAAAACTCCTCTTCTAACACTGGTATATCATGGATTAACCTTAGACAAATGGAAGGGAAACACTGCACCTGAGCTCCCCTTGCCTCTTGTACCACCTCACAACTTCTCCTAGCTGAAAAACAGGATTAGTAGATGTCTTCTCCCTGTGCCCTCCTATTCCATGCTGGTACTGCTGGAGGAAGTGGCTGAGCTCAGGGGCTTATTGCTTGGCACAGAAATCCCTCACTGCTGTTTCACAATCAAATTCATTCTTAAATGTTTTGTTCATAGTAACAGAGCTTGGCCAGTTCAGAAGACAGAGGTGCCGTAGGCAGAATTCAAGGAGAAGGTCTTTTTCCTCATTGCATCCTGGAATGCAGGACAAAGCCAGCTCTCCCCAAGGTGAGCAAAGCCTCCAGTTCAATCATCAAGCCACCCTGTGCATCACAGCCACAACTGAGGTCTGCCTTGAGCAGTGGCTATCACAGCTCTGGGGTAGATTCACTCATGGACCCTCTTCCTTCCCCAGGAACCACAAGCCATGGCAAATCTTGTTTGCCTTGACTCCATGCTCTCTTGGCCTTGCTCTTGTTCTGGCTGCTGTAAAGACAGTGCAGAAGGCCTGTCCTGCTCTGCTCCCCAGGCACCTTGTGCTTACCATGCTGGGAAACATGCCCCTGGTCAGTGAGGCTTGGCAGATCCCTGTGCCCTTCTCTGCCCTTCAAGGCAGTGACAGTTAAGAAGTATAATGGCAGTAAATTCCTCTGCCTCCCCCCTGCCAGCAGATGTGCTCACAGTGGTCT